TGTGTGTGTGTGTGTGTGGCCAGCTCAGCCCACCAGGGGGCGGGGCTGGCTGGCATGTGGTGCTGGGGGATTGAACCGCAGTCCCTGTGCTTTGCTAAACTTGTTCTAAGTAGGTGCTTTAGACCACTGAGCCATCTCACCAGCCCTATAATAGTCATTCTTAAAAAAAAAAAAAAATACTCATTCTTTCTGGAGTGAAAAGGTATCCAGTGTTTTCTTTTTTTTTAAAGTGTATTTGGTACAGGGTCTCACTACACAGCTCTGACTCACAGTGATACTCCTGTTTTCAGCCTTCCCAGTGCTGGGATTACAGGTGCACGCCAACACACCCAGTCTTATGGCCACTCAGCTTGCCCAGAGGCAGGGTGGGGTTGGTGCCTGGGATTAAACCCCAGTCCCTGTGTTTGCCTAAACAGGTGTTTAGTCTGCTAAACTATCTCATTAGCCCTCAAAGTGTTGTTTCAATTTGCATCTCTTGGATAACCAAGGACGTTGCACATTTTTCCATATATTTGCAATCTGTATTTCATCTGAGTTTCATATTCATCTCAGATGCCCATATTTTGATTGGATCTCTAAATTTAGGAGGTCTGTTATTTTTGAGTTCTTTTATGTTCCTGAGAGTAATCTGATGAATCTTCAATCTGTTGGTGGCTTCTCTTACTGTGCAAAAGCTTTTTAATAAAATGACATCCCATCTGTTGATTCTTTATGATAGTTCCTATGCAATCAGGGTGGGGTTTATGTATTTAGCAGATCAGAATTATAGTGATTCTGTTTTTAGCCTCCCAAGTGCTGGGATTACAGGTATGCACCACCACGCCCAGTCTCACAATCAGGGTTTTATTCAGAAAGTCTTTGCATACACCAATGTCTTCAAGAGTTTTGCCAATTCTTTCTTACAGCAGATTTAATGTTTCTGCTTTAACACCGAGATCTTTAATCCATTTTGAATTTACTTTAGTGCATGGTGAAAGATATGGATCCAATTTTAATCTTAGATATACAAAGCCAATTTTTCCAGCACCACTTATTAAAGAGGCTATCCTTCCAGTTTGGCACCTTTGTCAAAGATAAAGTGGCTGAGTATGTCTGGAGTTGTTCTTACATCATCTATTTCACTGACTTTGGACAGTCTGTGTTTTTTTGTGGGTTTTTTTTTTTTTTTTTTTTTTTGTGGTTTTTTTTGCCAGTACCACTGTTTTGGGATGTTTGGTTTTGGTACCAGTAATAAAACTCAGGACCTCATGCTTACTAGGCAGGCACTGTACTGCTGAGCTATATTCCCTACCCTAGGACCTTGCTTTTTTAAAATTTTTTATAAATCACAGTAGTTGTACAGTATGATTCCAAGTTAGGGATTGTGATCTCCCCTGTCCTGCTTTACTACTCAGACTGCCTTTGCTGCTCCAGGTTTCTCTGGTTTCAACTGAATGTAAGGGTTCTCTAACTCTGTGAGATATGCTGTTGAAATTTTGTTTTTCTTTTCTTTTCTTTTTTTTTTTTTTTTTTTTTTTTTTTTTTTTTTTTTTTTTTTTTTTTTTTTTTTTTTTTTTTTTTTTTTGGTGGTACTGGGCATCAAAACTCAGGATCTTGCACTTGCCAGGCAGGTGCTTATGCCACTGAGCTATATCCCCAGCCCCTGCTGTTGGAATTTTAATTGAAATTGTATTAAATCTGTATAATAGTTTTGGAAGTATAGCCATTTTCACTATATTGGTTCTTCCTACCCAAGAACAAAGGATATCTTTCCATTTTCTGATATCCTTTTCAATCTCCTTTTTCAGAGTATTTCAGTTTTCAATGTAGAGATCTTCTACATCCTTGGTTACATTTGATTCCTACATATTTCATTTTCTTGGATGCTATTGTAGAAGATGTTATTTCTCTAACTTCTCTCTCACTGGATTTTTTTAGTCATGTATAGGAAATCTATCGATTCTTCAGTGTTGACTTTATAGCCAACTATGTTGCTGAATTGGCTATCTAAAGCTACACTTGATCTTAGCCAAAAGGCCGAGAAGCGATTGCTATCTAAATCTAGCAGTCTTTTAGTGGAGTTTTGGGGGTCTCCTATATAGAATATGTCATCCACAAATTATAATTTAACTTCTTCCTTTCCTGTTGTTATTCCTTTTCTTTTTCTTGTCTAATTGCTCTAAAGTTTCCAGAACTATGTTGATGAAGAGTGGTGATAGTGAACATCTTTGTGATATTCCTAATCTTAGAGTGAATTTTCAGTTTTTGTCCATTTAGAATGATGGCTGTTGGTTTGTCATATATGGCTTTTATACGATTGAGATAAAGACCATCTAGTTCAATTTTCTATAGGGGTTTTATCATTAATGGGTACTAAACTTTTTCAA